GGGGAGAGGGAGAAAGAAAAAAATAGTTGGTCTAGTATGTTTCTAACCCACCCTGCATTCATATTTAATGATAATTCCACTTCACTTCCTCTGCTCTCTGCTGCATGTTTTGAGAGTGTGCGTGCTATGCGTAAGCTAAACGAGACTGATGGAGAAGATGGATTCCTGAATAGTTGCTAATGGTCTAGACATTTCACTGTTTTGTCAACAAAGCCCTATTGTTGAAAGCAATGTTTTCTCACTATGTCAATATCTCTGCCATGTTGTGTTGATATTAATGGAACTGCCAGGAAAGGGATTTAATTAATCATTTCCCTGAATAACTACTGACAGTCCTCATTTCCCAGTTGAAGGCATGCAGGACAATAGAGTTTATCTTTCAGCACAGGTTCAGGCACCTGAATTATGCTAGGAGGATGTATTTGGAAAGTCTTGCTGAGATATAAGTTTGGTCTACTTGGTCAATAAACAGGGTTGTGATTTATTCCAAAAACAATTATCTGGAGCAAATATATTGTACTTCTACTTGGCAGTTATGTTTTTGCTGTGGTTCTGCTCTATAATGGGACATAGAAAATTTTCTGGAGTCTAGTGAAAACAGTGTTTAATAATACCCTGGTCCTCTGCCTAAACCTAAATAAAATAGTAACTGATGCTTTGTATTTATGTGGTTTTTTTTTTCACCTGATACATGGGATGAACCCAAGAGAACTTTACAACAGCCCTTTTCATCTTCTAAGACAGGGTCTCTTGAAGTTGTTGAGACTAGCCTCAAAATTGTGGTCCTCCTGCTTCAGCCTCCAGAGCAACTGGGATTAAAGCATATGCTACAGTGCTTAACAAATTATGGACTTGAATCTTCAATATTATCTTATACTTTGAGAATTCAAAGAAGGGAGGAGAGAAGCATGACAAAGCTTCTCCCTCCCCACTTACATATCCTTCCCAGGTAAACTGGGGCTCTTTCCAGAGTTCTTGTTAGGCCATAACTATTACTGGGTTTTACTCTTCTGGTGAAGCCAGAGGATAACTACAAAAGGACATGAGTCACTGGGGACAGGGTCTTTTCTACTCCATATCTTGATATTATGGCCAATTCGGTTTTCTGTTCTTGATGCAAACCAGAGACTGTTAATATTCAAAGTTTTAAATGTGACTTTGAAGATAAATGTTCTCTTAGAACTTTAAACTTAGATACAAAAACATATCCTCCAAATCAGTTCTGCGTGACAGTTTGGGGCAGATGACCCACTAATCATAAAGTAGTCTTTTGATTTCTTATCTCCTTTCTGTGAATCTTCCACAAAGACCCCATGAGCCGGAGGAAAGTTAGAGCCAAAACAAAGTTCAATGCTTCTCAACTGAATCCAGTTGGATGTCATCCCCACACTTACCTTATTTTACAAAAGGAGGCCAAATAGCCAACTCTTAAAAGATAGGCCCCACTTCACCATTACAGCAGCACATTCTTAATTCTTAAAGTGATTTTTGCCTTAGTGTGTGAACTTCCTCCTAAGTAAAACCTTCACACAAACACAAGCGCTTCCCAGAAGGAGACCCTCTGGTGTAAGTAAAGAGATTCATTAATTTGTGAAGGAACAGTAAGAAACCAGCTTTAATTATTTTCCATTTAAATCAATAAATATGAGCATGTTTTAGTCATCTAGAGACTAGCAGCAGGAGAGAAGAGGGAAATTTATGCCACCTGTGAAAATAGATGCAAAGCCAGGTTCTGCAATAAATATATGTATCTTTAAATAAAATGAAAATATACCCTATAAAAATAGATAAATGAAAGCAGCAATTGTTTCTGTGGTGACTGCTTTACCAAAGCTGTGTTTATTTTTTCAATCGGCTTTCACAAATATTCTGAAATAATAACAGTAGAAAAAGCAATTTTCCAAGGCCCCAAATACCATATACTTCCTGACATAGGTAAACTCTTCATGGAAGTGACGTGAATTCATGATGTGATGCACTGGTATCTACTTCCCAGGAGGAAAAAAAGTGAAAGAGTACTAATTTTTAAGGCTAAAATTTGTAGAAAAAAAAATTAGTTTTGAGTAACTACAAGACAAAGGCAGAGGGGAAAGAAATTTTAAATAATCTATCAGAGCTGGTACGGAGGCCTCTCTCAAGGTATATATGATCTAATTTTAGGAAAACTATTTACTAAGTTAATGAAAAGAAAAATCGCCTCCTTTTATACTTGTGATTCCACAGAGGCAAGAACTCTGACATGTAGACACCATTGGATCAGCAGAGACTTTGAAAACCAGAGTTCTTTCCCATAGCTACATCAGAACGCCATACCTATACCTAAACCCAAAAGATGAAAAGTAAAACAATTTGAGAAGGCCAGCCAATAAATATTTGTCCCTATATCTTTGTAAGTGGTAAAGAGTATAAATATTTTATTTTTAGCATGTCTTCATTCAGCATGTCTTCATTTTTTAAAAATTAAAAAAACTACTTGATATATTTGACCTAAATTTATGTATGCAAACTTGGACCACTAATGTTTTGCAGTCTTTGTATAGCTTTATTTTTGCTGAATCCAAATGCAACAGAAAAAATATGTATTAAAGATCATTCTTTATGCATTCAACAGGAGAAATGTCAGGTATGAGAGTGCATTGATAAATACTCTCTGTCTTCACAGAGTTGCCAATCTAAGGAATGGCTAACCAAAAAAAAAAAAAAAAAGTGACCTAAAGAACACACACAGGATGAATTACAAGTGACGTTCCATGTTTGAAATAAAAGAACTGGATTCTGTAAAAATTAGTGGCAATGGTAGGTGTGGCTGAGTCCCTTCCAGTGACACTTAAACTAGGGGCATACTAGGAGAAGATGAGGGATGCATAGGTGCCCAGCTTGTAAAATAACGTAAAGAACACCCATGCAGGGAAGAGTCACATGAAACAGAATTCAACACCTTTCAGGGTCCAGGCTTTGCAGGGTCTCCATCTGGAGAGAAATGCGGATAGAGTCTCTAATTTAACTGTAAAAAACAGTAGAAAGGAAGGGAGTGACAATACTTCAGATATTTTAGGAATGAAGGAAGGAAAAGGGGAGGGAGATAGGGAAGAAGAAAGTAAGCAGGGGGTAGGGAGGGAGGAGAAAGGAAGGGAAGGGAAGAAGAAAGGGAGAAAGAAATCACTGCAGCAAGGATTTATTCCTTCAAAACATAAGTGATTGAGGCCCTCAAGTATTTCCGATTCCATTAATGCCTGTTAAATCCCTTACAGTATCAAGCATTGACAAAATAAATTCACTTGTGGTAAACTCACCTCTGATGGTATATTACCAGTATGTCAGACTTGCAGATCATAAGGTGAGTGCACTCACCTAAGGCTGTTCAGTTATCTAGTGACAGAAATATACAGGATTCCCGGTCTGCTTATCAGCAATGTCAGTAACTTTGCACCTACTACGTTTACTAAGGGACCAAATCTTACTTCTAAACCTATCTCTCATGCCTTAACTCATTAAGCCAGGAGCGGGTGTATGAAAAAAATATATTGATTGAGCCCTTACTAAGAATCAGGCATCAAATTTGAACTTTAATTTATATATTATATGATCTCTAAAGATCATTGCATGTGCACAAGCCCATGTACACCCATACATAGGAAACCATAGGGAACCACATGGGAATTCCCATAGGAGGCCACAGGAAGACAATTGTCATTTACAAGCCAAAAAGACAGACCTCAGAAGAAACGAACTCTGATGACACTTGGATTTTAAACTTGTCCCCGCCAAGAACTGGGGGAAGATTTGATTTCTGTTGTTCAATTCACTGTATCTGTACTACTTTGTTATGGCCAATCAGGCAAACTAACTGAGGGAGAATGCAAAATGGCACAACCACTCAGGGAAAGATATAGTTTTCAGTCACTTAAAAAGTAAAGCATGCACATAGGGCCCGGCAATGACATTTCCCGGCATTCCTAAGAGAAATTAAGGTAAATGTTCTCACACACACTTATATATGAATGTTATTGGAAGCTTCATCCACAATTACCAAGAGAGACAAACAAGTATCAACTGGAAAAAAGGATAAATA